GAGGGAATGTGGGGTTTGGGGTGCAGGGTTTGGGGTGAGGGGGGTTCAGGCAGGGGAGGAATGCAGGATTTGGGGTGCAGGGTTTGGGGTGCAGAGAGAGGATATGGGGCAGGGAGGGAATGTGGGGTTTGGGGTGCAGGGTTTGGGGTGCAGGGAGAGAATTATGGCAGGGAAGGAATGCAGGGATTGGGGTGCAGGGTTTGGGGTGGGGGGGTTCAGGCAGGGAGGGAATGCAGGGATTGGGGTGCAGGGATTGGGGCGCAGGGTTTGGGGTGCAAGAAGAGGATTCGGGCAGGGAGGGAATGCAGGGATTGGGGTGAAGGGTTTGGGGTGCAGGGTTTGGGGTAAGGGGGGTTCAGGCAGGGAGGGAATGCAGGGTTTGGGGTGAAGGGTTTGGGGTGCCGCGTTTGCGCTGCAGGGTTTGGGTTTGGGGTGCAGGGATTGGGGTGCAGGATTTGGGGGGCAGGGAGAGAATTATGGCAGGGAAGGAATGCAGGGATTGGGGTGAAGGGTTTGGGGTGCAGGGCACAAGAGGAGAGGTGCAGAAAATGGGGTGCAGGAGACAAGATGGAGTGTGGGGATGGGAAAAGGGGGGGCAAGGTTTTGGGGGCAGGGGAGGGATTTGGGGGACGGGGGAATAGATGGGGCGCAGGGTTTGGGGTGCAGGGTTTGGGGTGCAGGGAGATGATTAGGGGCAGAGAGGGAATGCAGGATTTGGGGTGCAGGGAGAGGATTTGGGGCAGGAAGGGAATGCAGGATTTGGGGTGCAGGGAGAGGATTTGGGGCAGGAAGGGAATGCAGGGATTGGGGTGCAGGGTTTGGGGTGCAGGGTTTGTGGTGCAGGGATTGGGGTGCAGGGTTTGGGGTGCAGGGAGAGGATTTGGGGCAGGAAGGGAATGCAGGATTTGGGGTGCGGGATTTGGGGGACAGGGTTTGGGGTGCAGGGATTGGGGTGCAAGGATTGGGGTGCGGGATTTGGGGGGCAGGGTTTGGGGTGCAAGGAGAGGATTCGGGCAGGGAGGCAATGCAGGGTTTGGGGTGCAGGGTTTGGGGTGCAGGGATTGGAGTGCAGGGTTTGGGGTGCAGGGTTTGGGTTTGGGGTGCAAGGAGAGGATTTGGGCAGGGAGGGAATGCAGGGTTTGGGGTGCAGGGTTTGGGGTGAGGGGGATTCAGGCAGGGGAGGAATGCAGGATTTGGGGTGGGGGGGTTTGGGGTGCGGGGTTTGGGGTGCAGGCAGAGCACGGGGTGCAAATTTCGGGGTGCGGGGGCGGGACGAGGGGTGCCGGGGTCGGGGCTCAGAGCCTGGGGGTGCCGGGGACGGGAAAAGGGTTTCGGGGAAGGGACGGGGGGAGCACCGTGAGCCGGGGGCGCGGGACGGGGCTCCGGGAACGGCGCTGGAGGAGGGGGCGGGGGAGGAACGGGCGGGGTCCGGTGCGGGGGAGGCGGCGAACGGAGCCCCGGTAGGGCCGGACACCGGCACCCCTTCTCCCCCCACCCCCTCCCCGCCGTTCCCGGTACCTCCGGCCGCTCCCGCTCGGCCGCGATCGCGCACAGGAAGCGGCGGCCGCCCCCGCCCCGTGTCCCGCCCCGTGTCCCCCGTTCCCCGTGTCCCCCCCTCCCTTCTCCCAGGAGCCGCCTCCGTGTCCCCCCCACCCCCCCCTCCCCGCGGGGCTCCGGGACACCGGGAACGGCCGTGGGGCGCCTCCTGCTGGGGGGAAAACCGCCGTGACACCCCCGGGAGCACCGGGACCGCCCCGACCCCACCGGACCCCCGTGGGGAACCAGTACCGGGGGGCTGGGACCCCCCCCCGAGTGAACCGAGACTCCTCGGGATCCACCGGGACGATCCCCCCGTGGGTACCGAGACCCCTCAGAGTGCGCCCAGACACCCCCGAGCCAACCGGGAGCCCCCCAAGTGACGCCAGACAGCTGAAAGATGGGGACCCCCCCCCCTTATTCACCGCGACCCCCCCAAGTCGCCAAATCGCCACCTCAAGATGCACCGACCCCCCCTCAAAATTCACTGAGACCCCCCAATAGGCACCGGAGCCCCCCGAGTGGGGGTGGAGCGGGTGAGCTGAGACCCCCCCCCCCAGTACACCAGGACCCTTCAGTGGGACTGGGGGGACCCCGGGAACCCCCAAAACGCAGGGGGTGAACTGGGTGAACTAGGTGAACTGGGTGAACTGGGCACCAAGACCCCCCCCCGGGGGGCACTGGGACCCCCATAAAGCTGCCAGGACCCCCCACAAGCACAGAGGTTTTGGGGTGAACCGGGACCCCCTAAATGTCCCCTGTGCCACCGCCACGTGCGGGACACCCCAATCCTTCTGTCCCCTCCCCGACCCTAAATCCCTCCCAGTCGCTCCCAGTCGCTCCCAGTCCCCCCCATCCCCGCGGGGGGTCATTCCCGCTTTACCGGATCCCACCGGAATTCCCGGCTGGGCCGGGGCAGCGGGACGGGCCGGGGGGTGCCCGGGGGGCAGGGAGAGGCCGTGACCGCCCCCGTGGCTTGGTTCCCGGTGCTGCTCCCGGTGCTCCCGGTACTCCCGGTACTCCCGGTACTCCCGGTACTCCCGTACCTCCGCGGCCGGGGCCGGTGGGCAGCAGCAGCCCCGGCGCAATTCCATGTCCAGCGCTGACCCCCGCGCCACCGTGCCGCCGCTCCGTTCGTCCCACCGGAACATCACCGGTGGTCCCGGTGGTCCCGGGGGTCCCGGGGAGTTCGGAGGGTTCGAGGCACTCCGGGATCCAGACGTTTCTGGAGGGTCCCGGTGCTCCCGGGGGTCTTGGGGGGATCTCCCGGGGGGTGCCGGAGTCTCGGTGCGCTGGAGATTTGGGGGGGTCCCGGTTCTCCCGGTGTCCCGGTGTCCCGGGGGTTCCCGAGGTCGCGGCAATCCCGGGATTCTGGAGCTCCCGGTGCACCGGGAATGTGCGGAGGGGGTGGGTGACAAGGGAATCTCGGTGTCCCGAGCCTCCGGTGCGTTTCCCCGGTGTGGGACACCGGGATGGACGCACGGGGAGACACCGGGGTGGCTCCTCCCGGTCCCGCGGCGGCGATCGGTGCCGGCGGCTCCTGGCACGGGAGGGACAATGGCCCGGGGGGACGGGGGGGGGTCCGTGTGACATCTGCCAGCGGGTGACATCCCCGCGGGGCTGCCCCACGCGTGTCCCCAAAGGGAATCCCCAAAATCCCGCAGCGGGAAGGTGGGAAAGGCCCCCCGGGGATGTCGCGGTGGGAATTTGGGGGGGTTGTGTGGGTATTTGAGGGGTTTGTGTGGATATTTGGGAATATTTGGGTGGGAATTTGGGGGGTTTATGTGGATATTCGGGATATTCGGGTGGGTATTTGGGGAGTTTATGTGGATATTTGGGATACTAGGGTGGGAATTTGGGGGGTTTGTGTGGATATTTGGGATATTTGGGTGGTATTTGAGGGGTTTGGGTGGATATTTGGGATACTAGGGTGGGAATTTGGGGGGTTTGGGTGGGTATTTGAGGGGTCTAGGTGGGAATTTGATGGGTTTGTGTGGATATTTGGGTGGAATTTGGGGGGTTTGTGTGGATATTTGGGATATTTGGGTGGGAATTTGGGAGGTTTATGTTGATATTTGAGATATTTGGGTGGGTATTTGGGATATTTGGGTGGGTATTTGAGGGGTTTGGGTGGGTATTTGGGAATATTTGGGTGGTATTTGAGGGGTTTCTGTGGGTATTTGGGATATTCGAGTGGGAATGTGGGAGGTTTATGTTGATATTTGGGATATTTCGGTGGGTATTTGGGATATTTGGGTGAGTATTTGGGATATTTGGGTGGGTATCTGAGGGGTTTGTGTGGATATTTGGGATATTTGAGTGGGTATTTGGGGGTTTTGTGTGGATATTTGGGATATTTGAGTGGGTATTTGGGGGGTTTCTGTCGATATTTGGAATATTTGGGCGGGTATTTGAGGGGTTTGGGTGGATATTTGAGATATTTTGGTGAGCATTTACGAGGTTTACATGGATATTTGGGTGGGAATTTGAGGGTTTTGTGTGGATATTTGGGATATTTGGGTGGGTATTTGGGAGGTTTGGGTGGATATTTGGGTGGGTATTTGGGGGGTTTCTGTCGATATTTGGAATATTTGGGCGGGTATTTGAGGGGTTTGGTGGATATTTGAGATATTTGGGTGAGTATTTACGAGGTTTATGTGGATATTTGGGTGGTATTTGAGGGTCTTGTGTGGATATTTGGAATATTTGTGTGAATTGATGAAGTCAAACCTCCTCGTCCTGCCCTGGGCACCATCCTGGCACCCCCGGGGAGAGATTTGGGGGGCTGGATGGGGATTTTGTGTGGATGGATGGGATCCACACTCAGATGAGAAATTTGTGGGGATATTTGGGATATTTGAGTGGTATCTGAGGGGTTTATGTGGATATTTGGGATATTTGGGTGGGTATTTGAGGGGTTTGTGTAGATATTTGGGATATTTGGGTGGATATTGGGGATATTTTGGTGGTATTTGATGGGTTTGTGTGGATATTTGCGTGGGTCTTTGGGATATTTGAGTGGGTATTTGAGGGGTTTGTGTGGATATTTGGGGTATTTGGGTGGGTCTTTGGGATATTTGAGTGGGTATTTGAGGGGTTTGTGTGGATATTTGAGATATTTGAGTGGGTCTGTGGGATGTTTGGGTGGGTATTTGATGGGTTTGTGTGGCTATTTGGGATATTTTGGTGGTATTTGAGGGCTTTATGTGGATATTTGGGATATTTTGGTGGTATTTGAGGGGTTTGTGTGGATATTTGGGATATTTGAGTGGGTATTTGAGGGGTTTGTGTGGATATTTGAGATATTTGGGTGGGTATTTGAGGGGTTTGTGTGGATATTTGGGATATTTGGGTGGGACTTTGAGGGGTTTGTGTGGATATTTGGGATATTTGGGTGGGAATTTGAGGGGTTTGTGTGGATATTTGGGATATTTGGGTGGGAATTGGGGATATTTGGGTGGGAATTTGAGGGGTTTGTGTGGATATTTGGATATATCTTCAGTGAGAGACCACCAGGGTCACCCCTCACGCCCGCCCCGCCCGGCCCCACAGCACCCGCGGCACCGCTTTCCCCCCGGAGCAGCGAACAGCGTGCCCGCTTCAAACATGGCGGAGGCAGCGTCACCCCGCCCCAAATAACGGATGGGATAGTCCGGGCGGAAGCGCGTTCGGGCGGAAGTGGGTCCGTCGTGAGTTGGGTCCCCCTTAGCCGGATGCGCAGGGCCTGGCGGCGCGGCGCGATGGAGGCCGGTGGTCACGGTGAGGGGAGAGCGGGGCCGGGCAGGGGCCGGGAGGCGCTGTGGGATCGCTCCCCGGCGGGACAGAGCCCGCGGGGACCCCTCGCTGACCCTGCGTTCCCCCTCACAGGGCAGGAGGCCGAGGCGGGCGGCCATGGCGGCCACAAGAAGAAGCACAAGAAGCACAAGAAGAAACACAAGAAACGGCACCACCACGAGGCGGGGCCGGCCCCGGGGCCCGAACCCCCTCGGCAGCCGCGGCTGCGGCTCCGCATTAAGCTGGGAGGGCAGATCCTGGGCACCAAGAGGTGAGGAGGGAGCTGGGGGCAGACCCCGGGCAGCAAAATGGAGGAGGAGGAGGAGGAGGGGAGGCAGGGTGTGTTTCCATGTGTCCCCCCATCTCAACGCCCCCCAAACCCCTCTCTCTCGCCCTGCAGTGTCCCCACGTTCACGGTGGTCCCCGAAAGGCCGCACTCGCCGTCCCCCTCCCCTCTGCTGGCAGGGGACGAGGAGGAGCCCAGCGTCCCCATCGAGCAGTACCGGGCCTGGCTGGGTGAGCAGGGGGGTCCTGGGGGGAAATGGGGGGCTCAGGGTGGGGAGGGGGTGCACCGGAGCCCTCAGGGCGGTGTGACCCCCACCCCACCCCCTGGGACTGCTCCCATCAGATGAGGACAGCAACCTGGCCCCCTCCCCGCTGCCCGAGCTGGACCCCGAGGGCTGCTTCCCTCCCCGGGAGGAGGAGGAGGAGGAGGAGGAGGAGGAAGAGGAGGAGGAGGAGGAGCGGCGCTGGCTGGCGGCCCTCGAGAGGGGGGAGCTGGACGACAACGGCGACATCAAGAGGGAGGTGGATGAGTCCCTCCTGACGGCCCGACAGGTCAGGGGGCACGGGGGGGCTGGGGGGTCTGGGGAGGGGTTTGGGGGGGCTGGGGTGCTCAGGGATCTGGGCTGGCAGGGCTGGGGTGCTCAGGGGGCTGGGCTGAGGGGGCTGGGCAGGGTTTTGGGGGGGGCTGGGGTGCTCAGGGGGCTGGGCAGGGTTTTGGGGGGGTCAGGGGTGCTCAGGGAGCTGGGCTGGGGATGGGCTGGGGGGTGTGGGGTGCTGAGGGAGCTGGGCTGAGAGGGGCTGGGGAGGGTTTGTGGGGGTCAGGGGTTCTCATGGAGCTGGGCTGGCGGGGCTGGGGTGCTCAGGGAGCTGGGCTGAGGGGGCTGGGCAGGGTTTTGGGAGGGTTGGGGTGCTCAGGGAGCTGGGCTTGGGATGGGCTGGGGGGTGTGGGGTGCTCAGGGAGCTGGGCTGAGGGGGATGGGGAGGGTTTTGGGGGGATTGGGGTGCTCAGGGAGCTGGGCTGAGTGGGCTAGGGAGGATTTGGGGCAGTCTGGGGTGCTCAGGGAGCTGGGCTGAGGGGGCTAGGGAGGATTTGGGGCAGTCTGGGGTGCTCAGGGAGCTGGGCTGAGGGGGATGAGGGGTGTGGGGTGCTCAGGGATCTGGGCTGAGGGGGCTGGGGAGGGTTTTGGGGGGATTGGGGTGCTCAGGGATCGGGGCTGAGGGGGGCTGGGCAGGGTTTTGTGGGGATTGGGGTGCTGAGGGAGCTGGGCTGAGGGGGATGGGGGATGTGGGGTGCTCAGGGGGCTGGGCTGAGAGGTGCTGGGGAGAATTTGGGGCAGTCTGGGGTGCTCAGGGGGCTGAGCTGAGGGGGCTAGGGAGGATTTGGGGCAGTCTGGGGATCTGGGCTGAGGGGAATGGGGGGTGTGGGGTGCTCAGGGGGCTGGGCTGAGGGGGATGGGGGGTGTGGGGTGCTCAGGGATCTGCGCTGAGGGGGCACTGGGGAGCCCCATCCCCCCTGAGGCAGGACTGAAGGGACCTGGAAGGGCTGTGGGGCTGAGCTGTCACCTTTGGGGCACACCAGAGCTGGGCTGGGGACGCACCTTGGAGCACCGGGGGGACCCCCACAGATCCCCCCCATGCCCAAAATCTGACTCCACGACCCCGCAGCGCGCGCTGCTGCACAAGCAGCAGAGCCAACCCCTGCTGCAGCTGCCCATGGGCGCCAAGGCCAAGGAGGTGACGGAGGAGATGCGGGAGAAGCGGGAGGAGCGAGCGCGGCGGCGGCGGCTGCAGGCGGCCCGCAAGGCCGAGGAGAGCAAGAACCAAACCATCGAGCGCCTGACGCGCACGCACAAGGCCAAGGTCAGAGCCCTGCGGGAGCGCCGCGCCCGCCCCGCCGCCTGCCCGGTGGTGCATTACCGCAGCACCGCCGACGGCGTCACCGTCTCCTTCCCCGCCGGGCTGCCGGTGCCGCTGCCCGCCGCCGCCGCCGCCCCGCCCGCGCCGCCCGCCCGGCCCTGCGCCGTGCCCGGCTGCCCCAACGCCCGGCGCTACAGCTGCGCCCGCACCGGCCGCCCGCTCTGCAGCCTGGGCTGCTACCGGCGCAACCTGCAGCTGCTGCAGAGCGCGGGGTGAGCCTGCTGGGGGGGTACGGAGCCTTGGTGTGGGCTAGGGACCCTTGTTGTGGGCTATGGAGCCTCAGTGTGGGCTATGGACCCTCGGTATGGGCTACGGATCTTCTCTGGGGCTACAGACCCTCAGTGTGGGCTACAGATCTTCTCTGGGGTTACGGATCTTCTCTGAGGCTACGGACCCTCGGCGTGGGCTATGGACCCTCAACGTGGGCTACGGACCCTCGGCGTGGGCTATGGACCCTCGGTGTGGGCTATGGACCCTCGGTGTGGGCCATGGATCTTCTCTGGGGCTATGGACCTTCAGGGTGGGCTATGGACCCTCTGTATTGACTATGGATCTTCTCTGGGGCTATGGACCATCGGCATGGGCTACAGACCCTCGGCATGGGCTACGGACCCTCAGTGTGGGCTACAGATCTTCTCTGGGACTATGGATCTTCTCTGGGGCTATGGATCTTCTCTGGGGCTATGGACCCTTGGCATGGGCTACGGATCTTCTCTGGGGCTATGGACCCTCTGTGTTGACTACAGACCCTCAGCATGGGCTATGGATCTTCTCTGAGACTACGGACCCTCGGCATGGGCTATGGATCTTCTCTGGGGCTATGGATCTTCTCTGGGGCTGCAGACCCTCAGTGTGGGCTATGGACCATCTGTGTTGACTATGGACCCTCGGCGTGGGCTGTGGACCCTCTGTGTTGACTATGGACCCTCAGCGTGGGCTATGGATCTTCTCTGGGGCTACAGACCCTCAGCGTGGGCTACGGATCTTCTCAAGGGCTACGGATGCTTTGCTGTGGACACGTGGCCGGATCACCCTGACCGTACGGACACAAGGCGTTCCTGGATTGTCCCCGTGGACGCAGAGGGACCTGTAGGTCTCTGCTGTGAGGAGCTCCAGACATTCCACGTGGATCCAGAGGACACAACAGGGGTTTCAAAGCCTCTGGTGTGGACACAGAGGTTGTGGCCACGCCACATGGACACGAGGGGCCTGGAGAGGTTCTCATGTGGTTCCTCATGGAGACGCGGAGGTCTGGCTGCTGCAGATGGATATGGAGAGCCGGGATTGGAGCTGCAGAGGGCTCAGGGCTCTCTGTCATGGACACGGAGGGTTGGGGGGGACTGAGGGTGGTCCTGAGGTGGGTCCTGGAGCTGATTAAAGCTGTTGTTGAAGGAGCCGCCGTGTGCGAGTCTGTTGGATGGTACAGTCCGACACCCCCCGGAATCACCGTGGTACAGTCCCCCCGGGAGTGGAACAGCCCAACTGCCCCCCCCCCCCAGTGCGTTATGGTCCGTCCCGCTGCTCTCCGGCAGCGCCCATTGGCTGGAGAATTGCCCAGAGGACAGCGGCGACGCTGATTGGCCAGACGCGTTGCCAATCAGACGGTGGAAGGGCTGCGTGCCCTCCAATTGGCCGCGCTGTGCCGAGCGCCCGCCCCAGGGCGGGCTGGGAGGCCGCGCCCTCCGTCGAGCTCGGTGCTGGACTGCCATTGGCGAGCGCCGCTGTCAATCAGAGCACGGGGGCGGTGCTCCTTCCTCGATTGGCCGCCACGGCCGCCAATCATTGCGCGGGGGCGGTGCTCGGCTTCTTTGTCTCTGTTGTTGGGCGTGAGGCTCAGGCAGACGGCGAGCGATTGGCTGCAGCCGGGCGGGGGCGCCGGCGCCGATTGGCTGTCAGCTGCGGAACGTTCGCTGATTGGCCGACGGTGGCCGAGGGGGCGGGATTTCGGGCCGGGCGTGATGGCGGCGGCGACGGCCCCGGCCCGGGCGGCGGCGGCGGCCGCGGGGGCCGCGATGGCGGCGGCGGCGGCGGCGGTGACGGGGCGGCGGCGGCTGCTGCGGGCGGCGGGGCAGCGGCCGGGCGGGCGCGGGGCCGCGGCGGGCTTTAGGCGGCGGCGGCAGCGCCATGGAGCGGCCCGGGAGCGGCGAGGGGGCCTGGGCCGCGCTGCTGGGCCGGCAGCACCCGCAGGTACCGGGCGGGCCGGGCCGGGGGGGGCCGCGCGCGGGGCTGCGGTGACGGTGCGGCCGTGCCCGCAGGCCCGGGAGTTCTGCCCGGGGGTGAACAACCGGCCCTACGTGTGCGAGACCGGGCACTGCTGCGGGGAGAGCGGCTGCTGCACCTACTACTACGAGCTGTGGTGTGAGTACCGGGGGGAACCGGGGGGGAACCGGGCGGAACGGAGGGCAGCGGGGATTGCGGGAGGGTCCTGCGGCTCGGAGCATGAGCTGAGCCCCCGGGGGGACTGAGGCTTCGGGGGTTTGCGGGTTCGGGGGTTTGCGGCCGGACCGCCGGTGGGAACGGGGGTTCGGTGTGACGGTGATCCCCCCGCTCCGCGTCCCCCCCGTTCCCGCAGGGTTCTGGCTGCTCTGGACCATCCTGATCCTGCTGAGCTGCTGCTGCGCCTTCCGGCACCGCCGGGCCAAGCTGCGCCTGCAGCAGCAGCAGCGGCAGCGTGAGATCAACCTCATCGCCTACCACGGTGCCTGCCAGTACCCGCCCTCCTCGGGGGACCTCCGTGAGTGACGGGCTTGGCGATTTCCCCCCTATCCCAGCCCCGACTCGGTGAATCGGGACCCTCAGCACCCCCAAAGTGCTGGATCCCCTGTGTGCCACACATCCCCAGCCTCACCTCGGGTCTCAGGGTTTTTTCCCGGTGCTTATCCGTGTCCCCGGTGTCCTCCTCACCCCACCGTTCCCCCTCCCAGGGCTGCTGGCCTCCTTCAAGCTGCCGGCGTACGAGGAAGTGGCGCAGCGCCCCGGGACGCCGCCGCCGCCCTACAGCCCCGGGAGCCCCTCGCTGTCGCCCGGTTCCTCCAGGGGCTGCAGCTCCTGCTCCTGCGGCTGCTCCTGCGCCTCCTCCCCCAGCAGCTCCTCGCTCTCGGCACCGGGAACCGACGAGACGGACCCGGAGCCGTGCCCGGGCCCCGGGGGTGGCAGTACCGGCCGTGATTACGGCTCCAGCAGCACCGGCACCGGTGCCAGCTGGGAGCTGCCCCTTCCCGAGGAGCTGCCGGCCTGTGGGGGTCCCCCCAAACAAGTGCCCCCGGATTTCTGTGAGGCTGAGGGCCGCCCCTGCTCCATCACCCAGGGGGGAGAGGATGGGGGGGACAGAGCGGTGCCAGGGGGATGTCCCGGGCGGCACCGGCGGCTCACGGGGGATTCGGGCATCGAGGTGGGCAGGGGACTAGAGGAGGAGGAGGGCGAGCCTGAGGGATGTGGGGGAGCAGGGGGTGGTGGGGGGCCTGGCTCACCCGTGCTGCCCGTCTGAGCCCCCCACCAAGTCCCCCAAGTGGGGTCTGGACTCATCACGGAGCCCCTGGGGGCCCTTCACCCCGACTGACACCCACCTGGCAGTGCGGTGGGGTCCTGCTGGAACCCCCTCCCCTCCAAACTGCTCCTGGGGCCTCCCTCCCCTGCGATCCCGGTGCTGCTGCCTGGGGGGTGCCCGAGACCACGGGGGTGGGTGGTCCCGGCACCTTCTCTCACCATTAAAGAGATGTGGAAGTACCACTGACCCTTGTGGTGGGTGCACTGGGCTGGGGGGTGAAGGGGTAAAACATCCCCCCCCGTGGCACAGGGGCAGCAAAGGTGGCACTGGGACACCCTGAGAGGCTACAGTTGTGGGGGTTTATTGCAGGGGAGCCCCCCAACACCTCCCCTGGCCCTGAGCACGCCAGGCAGGCGCGGGGGGCACTGGGACACCCCACATCAATAGTCCTCAGCCATGACCAGCACGACGAGCGCCGACCACCCGGCGAAAGGGCGACAACCCTGCCCGGCGCCATCACTGTCCCGGTAATGCTCCCAGAGAAATCCGGTGGCCTCGTACTGCCGGAACACGTTGGCCACGAGGTTGTGCCGCAGCTCCCGGTAGATCTGCGCCGCGCGCTCCCGGTACGGCCCCGCCGCGCCCGCGTAACCGCGCAGCGCCCGCAGCGCCAAGAAGTTGATGTTGACCCAAAGGGAGCCGCGCCAGTAGGGCGGGTCGTGCTCGGTGTTGCGCCGCAGGTACATGGGGCTGTCGCGGGCCAGCGAGCGCAGCCCGAAGGGCGTCCAGAGCTGCTTCTCCCCACGTATGGCGCCAAGCAGCGCCGGCAGCCGCGGCGAGTCGGCACGCAGCAGCTGCAGCAGCAGCGGGAACAGGCTGACGTAGCCCAGAGCGCTCACAAAACGCGGCCGCGGCGCCTCCCGCACCTCCCGGCGCAGCCGCGGGGCTGGTGGTGGCGCGCCGGGCGCAGCGGGCGGGTGGTGCCAGCGCAGTGCCACGGCCGCGCTGTGGTTGCCGAAATCGGCGAAGGTGCCCAGCTCGGGCGCCCAGTGCAGGCGGTCCAGCAGGTCGTTGTCGCTCAGCGCCGCCGCCATGGCGCGGTAAGACGCGGCGGGCTCGCCCAGGCGCTCGGCCAACGCCGCCAGCACGCGGGCGCCCAGCGCCATCCAGCAGCGCAGGTCCAGGTGCCGCTCCTGCGGGGACGGGTGCGAGGCGCGGGGGTAATCGTCCAGCCCCGAAGACAGAGTTTTGGGGTTCAGGAAGCGCTCGGGGTCGGCGTCGCGGCCGCGCCAGCGGAAGGTGAAGGGCTCGGGGCCGGCCTGGGTGCGGTTCAGCCATTGGAACCAGGCGGTCAGGCGCGGGTAGAGGCGGCGCAGGTAGGGCAGGGGCGCGTCGGGCAGCAGCCGCTCCAGCGCCAGCAGCAGCGTCGGGGGGTTGGCGGTGTCGCTGTGCTGCACCACGAACTCGGGGGGCACGCGGGACCGCGCCTCCTCCCCCAGGATCTGCTCCCGCGGGATCCAGCCCTCGGCGTTCAGGAGGTCCAGCCAGTGGGCCAGGATGTCGCGGGCCAGCGCGGGGTCCCAGCGGGCCAGCAGCAGCAGGTGGAATCCCTCATCCCACAGGAAGCCCCGCGGGAAGCAGGAGCGCGAGGGCACGGCCGTGAACAGCGTGGCCTCCATGCCGGCCACCGGCTCGTCCCGCAGCTCGGAGCGCAGCAGGGAGCGGCCGTGGAAGAAGCCGATGCCGCCCAGCATCTCGCTGAGCGCGGCCTGGGCGAAGCGGCGCTGCGGGAGGGACGCCCCCCGCGCCCCCAGCATGAAGGTTTCCTCAAAGCGCCGCTCGAAGGCGGCCGCGTGCCGCGCCAGCGCCGCGCTCAGCGCCGGCCCCGCCAGCCTCCCGCGCCGCCGCCCCGCCGCGCTGCCCGACTCCAGCGTCACCTCCAGCGCCGCCGGCGGCTCCAGCGTCACCTGGTGCAGCAGCAGCTGCCCCCGCGGCGGCTCCCCGGGCAGCCCCCCGCTGCTGGACACCCCGAAAAAGCGGCGGCGGGGGCGGCCCGGCGGGGAGAACACGGAGCTGTCGCGGAGGCTGTGCCGGACCAGGTCGGTGAGACGGTGCAGCCCCGGCACGCCCGCGGCCAGGAAGTTGTAACTGCGGGGGAGAGGACAGTCAGTGATGGGGAAAGTGGGGGCAGATGGGAGGGATTTGGGGGACACAGCCCAGACACTCACCTGGCATACTTGGGTCCCTCCCCGCCCTCCTCGGTGGGCGGCAGGAAGGTGAGGGTGAAGTCCCCGAGCTCCTCCGCCATCCCCGCCACGGCCGCCAGCCGTGTCCCGTTCTCCAGCACCGGCCGCAGCGTCCCCTGCCCGTCTGTGGCCACGTAGAAGAAGAGGGACAGGAGAGGCGCCGGGCCTTTGCCCTGGGGAGGAGGAAGAGGAGGGTGACAAAAGCTCCCCAGCACCCCAACCCCTCTCCCGCTCTCACCCCCTCACCTCCATCTTCACCGTGACCCGCCAGCTCCAGTCGCCGCCGTGTTCTCCCCCCGGCTGCTTCACGAACTCGGTTCGCAGCACCAGCCCCTCATCGCGGATCTCCTGCACCCCGAAATTCTCCCCGTCGTGCATCAGCCACCCGTACCGCGCCACGCCGTCGTTCTGCTCGCTCGTGTGCCGCAAGCTGCCGCCGTGCTGGAGCCACATCAGCCCTGGAGGGGCGGGGAGGTGTCAGGGGCGGCCCCGGAGGTGGCAGCGGGCCCGGACGAGCCCCCCGCGCCCCTCACCGGTCACGACAGCGCGAGGGCTCCGCGTCTTCATCCCGAAGTAGACGTGAGGCCGGTACGTGCCCCAGAAATAGGTGGGGGACGCCAGAGGCCCGGTGGAGCCAGGGGGGACGGCGGGGGGCGCGGGGTGGGGGGTGACGAGGCGGGACGCTTCGCTCCACCGCTTCCACCCGGCCGCCGCCGCCGCCAGACCCAGCGCCAGCGCCGCCGCTGTGAGCGCCGGCACCATCCGGCCCCGCCCGGAGCCTCGCGGCGGCTTTGGATGTTGCCGCAGTTTGGCGTCGCGCTCCCGGAGCCGCTCCCGGGGCCGTTCCCGCGGTCCATCCCCGCCGCGCCGCCGCCGCTCGCCCGCCATTAGGGCTGTCGCGGTGATGACGTCATCGTCGCGCCGGATGTGGGGGGGCCCGTCGCGGAGCGCCGCCTGGCGGGCGGGAGGACCACGGGCAGGCTCGGTCCTCCAGGGGACCCCGAGGGGACAATGACACCGCGGGTGGCACCGAGCAGCCCCAACACGCTCCTCAGTGTCGGAATCCGTGCTATTGATGATCCCGAGATTGTAAAAAGTCTCTGTCTTTCTGCCCATTGCCAAAGCAGAAGCCAGAAACTACCAGAAACTACCAGAAACTACCTGTGCTATATTTACAATAACGTGCCAATATCTGTCACCTACGTTGGACAGTGTGTCCCCAGCCTGAACCAACAGAAAAATGCCAACACCACAGTGAAACATGGAGGGCATGAAGAAGGAGAAAAGGGACAAGACACACCCAATTTCCTCCATCTTGTCCCCTTTGAACCCCTAATCTAGAAACCTAAAATTTTACTGTTGCACCCTGCCACACTTAATTATTACTTATATCAAACACTCAGAGCTTGTAATTCATCCTGTAAGATTGAAAACTCTTTTCCATGGACAGAGATCACAGACAGTGTCTGTGGGGGCTCTGTCCAGGGGGGTTCCTGACCCCTGCCAGGGTCCCAGGGCAGCCAGAGGGAAGCTCTGGAATCCCTCACCTCACATTTTGTGCCCATTAATCTCCTCCGGGGGTACCCAAAGGAGCCCCAGCTATCCCCCTGGACCCCCAAGGGAATCCCACCCTGCACCCCCAGCCCCAATCTCAGGGTAACACCCCAGGGATGCCACCCCCCACACCCCAAAATCTCAGACACAGCCACGGCCATGGCGTTTGCAGCTTTATTCCGGGTCAGCCCTCGGGGCTGTTCCCCACACACGGCAGCCCCGGCACACGCCAGCGGCGGGCCCGGTGCAGCCGCAGGGACAGCCACTGCTGCTGGCTGCCCGGGAACGGGGACTCGGGGCGGGACGGGAGATCGGCCTCTGGAGCCAGCGGGGGGGTCCCCGGGATTGGGCCCAGCCCCTCCAGAGGGTCCAGGCCAGGCAGAGGATCCATGGATTGTTCCAGGGGGTGGGCGCCTTCATCTGAGCCTGGGAAGGGATGGATAGGTTGGATAGATGGATGGGTTGGTGTATCAGATCCTGCTTCCCATGGGGATTCCTATCCCCAGCTCCATCCTCAATCCTTGTCCCTCTCCCTGTCCTCATCCATCTTTGTCCCAGTCTCCTGATTCTGATCCCACCCTGTGTCATCCCAACTCCACCTCATCCCATCCCAATCCTGTTCCCATCCCATCCCATCCCATCCCAATCCCCATCCCATCCCAGCCCAATCCCGTTCCCATCCCAATCCCAATCCTATTCCCATGCCCATCCCATCCCATCCCATCCCATCCCCATCCCCACTCCATCCCACCCCATCCCATCCCCACCCCATCTCATCCCATCCCATTCCATGGATCCCATCCCATCAATGGATCCAATCCCATCCCATCCCATGGATCCAGTCCCATCCCATCCCATCCCATCCCATCCCATCCCATCCCATCCCATCCCATCCCATCCCATTCCCATTCCCATTCCCATCCCAATCCCCATCCCATCCCCATCCCGTCCCCATCCCCATTCCATCCCCATCCCCATTCCATCCCGTTCCTATCCCCATCCCATTCCCATTCTCATTCTCATTCCCATTCCCATTCCCATTCCCATCCCCATCCCAGTCCCATCCCATTCCCACCCTGTTCCCATCCCATTCCCATCCCACCCTTTTCCTATCCTATCCCCATCCCATCCCCATCCCCATTCCCATCCCCATTCCCATCCCATCCCATCCCATGGCTCCTGCTCCACCCCATCCCATCCCATCCCATGGATCCCATCCCATCCCATCCCATGGATCCCATCCCATCCCATGGATCCCAACCCATCCCATGGATCCAATCCCATCCCATCCCATGGATCCCATCCCATCCCATCCCATCCCATCCCATCCCATCCCATCCCATCCCATCCCATCCCATCCCATCCCATCCCATCCCATCCCATCCCATCCCATCCCATCCCATCCCATGGCTCCTGCTCCACCCCATCCCATCCCATTCCACAGATCCCATCCCATCCCATGGATCCCATCCCATCCTATGGATCCCATCCCATCAATGGATCCAATCCCATCCCATGGATCCCATCCCATTGATCCCATCCCATGGATCCCATCCCATCCCATGGATCCCATCCCATGGATCCCATCCCATGGATCCCATCCCATCCCATCCCATCCCATGGATCCCATCCCATCTCATCCCATCCCATGGATCCCATCCCATCTCATCCCATCCCATGGATCCCATCCCATCCCATCCCATCCCATGGATCCCATCCCATCCCATCCCATCCCATGGATCCCATCCCATCCCATCCCATCCCATTCATCCCACCCCATGGATCCCATCCCATCCATCCCATCCCAATCCCATCCAATCCCATCCCATCCCATGGATCCCATCCCATGGATCCCACCCCACCCAATCCCATCCCAATCCCCACCCCGCTCTCACAGCAGCGCCGCAGGCTGCCCCAGCCCCGGGGGGCTCCCCGCAGCCGCCCCGGTTGCTGCAGGAGGCAGCGCAGGGCCGTGTCCGTGTGCCGGAAGACGCGGAGCGCGCGCAGCTCCCGCCGGGCCTCGGGAGGCAGCCCGGAGCGCTCCGAGCACACCAGGTCCCGCACGGCCTGGAAGTCCCTGCGCAGCTGCAGGGCACCCTGCAGGCTGGCAGGGGGACAGGGGGGCGTGGGACCCCTGGAATGGCCACCAGGAGCCCAGCAGCAGGACCCCCTGATGCTGCCACCGCCACCGAGATCCCGGCACTGCTGTCGGACCCTCGCCGGGACTCCCACAGGGGCCCACAGAGCCTCTGGCACTGCCACCAGAGCCCCCTACCACCCCGCTGGGACACCCTCAGTGGGACCCCAACCTGCCACTGACACCCTGGACTGTCACTGGACCTCCGAGATTACACTGGGACCTCCAGAACGGCCACTGGGACTCCTGGAACTGCCACTGGGATCCCCAGGACCCCACAGGGATCTCCCAGAACCCCACTGGGACCTCCAACACTGCCACTGGGACCCCCAGGACTTCACTGGGACCCCTGGAACGGCCACTGGGACCTCCAGGACTGCCACTGGGACCTCCAGCACTGCCACTGGGACCCCCAGGACTTCACTGGGACCTCCAGGACTTCACTGGGACCCCTGGAACTGCCACTGGGACCCCCAGGACTCCACTGGGACCTCCAGCACTGCCACTGGGACCTCCAGGACTTCACTGGGACTCCTGGAACTACCACTGGGACCCCCAGAACCCCACTGGGACCTCCAAGACTGCCACTGGGAACCCTGGAACTGCCACTGGGACCTCTCAAATTGCCACTGGGACCCCCAAGACCCCACTGGGACCCCTGGAACCGCCACTGGGACCCCCAGGACTTCACTGGGACCCCTTAGACTGCCATTGGGACCCCTGGAACTGCCACTAGGACCTCTCAAATTCCTGCTGGGACCCCCAGGACCCCACTGGGAGCCCTGGCACTGCCCACAGGCTGTGTCCCCCCCACTCCCCAGTACCTGAACTTGATCCGGCGGGTCAGGATGTGATCCATCCAGGCCTCCAGGAAGGCCGTGGTGACCCGTGCCAGGGTGGGCACCTGGGCATCGTGGGGCAGGGCCTGGGCCCCCTGCAGCACCTGCCCCAGCACCGCCTGCACCGCGGCCGCCGCGTAGGCGCTGGGGGAGCTGGGCAGCTCTAGGGGACACAGGGACAGAGTTCAGCCAGCCCCTCAATGCCCCCCACATCCCCCCAGCCCCAAAACCCACCGGCACGAGGCCCGAGCCGCCAGTGCCGCCCCAGAGGCATCGTCTGGTCGAAGATCTCGGCCGAGAGCCGCTTGCAGCTGGTGGAGAACATCCAGAGCACATCCCCGGAGAAGAGCTGGGACACGGGGTGACACGGGTGACACAGGGTGACACAGGGTGACACAAGCATCCTCAGGACCACCTTCTCACAGTCCCACCAGACCTGGATGCTGTTGGCCACGTCGTGGATCTGCCGGCACAGCTGGAGCTCCCACGGGGATGGGGACTCAGGGGGGATGTCCCCAGGAATGTCCCCCGGCTCAGGGAAGGTCCCGCTCACCTGCAGCATCAGCTGCTCCACCTCTGCCTTCAGCACCTGGAGGAGAGCAGGAGGAGCGAGTCCAGCCCTGCTGTGCCCCCCCAGACCCCCGTGCCCGCTGTGCCCACGTACCTGCAGGTCTCCCTGGGTGAGCAGCAGGAACTGAGGCAGTGCCCAGGCCGCCAGGTACCGCCCGGCCCGGCCCGTCAGCCACGCGTGGGCGGCCGCCACCGCCGCCAGGCACCGGCCCAGCACCTGCAGCCGCGGGCAGAGACCCCCGGGGGGGGGGGCTGTGGGTGGGGGTCAGCACGGACAGGACCCCCAGACCCACCTGGCCCAGCCCAGACCCCTCTCACCGTGCGGGCGGGCGGGCAGCAGGCATAGGCAGCGCAGGGCCAGTGCCAGGGCGGGGAAGAGGCGCTGGAGCTGCTGGGCTGTGCGGCTGCAGCCCGGCCCTGGGGAACCCCCTGGAGCCTCCAAGCACTTGTCTGACAGCCCTGAGCCCAGAGCACGGGTGAAATCTGGAGGAGAAACAGTCAGAAAGCTCCAACATCCCCTGCTTTCACCCCACACCCCACATCCAACCCACTGCCTCACCCCATATCCACCAAGTGCCCCACATCCCGCCCCCCACCCTGCACCCCCTGTAGCCCCCCATACCCGTGTCCCAGCTGCAGAGGACGCTGCGGCACAGCAGGCGCAGGCACAGCCCCCCCAGCTCCTCCTGGCACTCGGTGGGCACACGGGCTGTGGGGACACAACGGGGCTCAGGGCAGGGCAGGGACACCCTCAGGGAGCCCCACACCCCCTGTACCCCCACTCACCAACAGCCAGCGCACGGCTCAGCTCCCACGCCGCGGTGACAGTGGCACTGGGGGTGGCAGGAGGGGTGGCCGGGCTGTCTGCCAGCACGGTGCCCACCGCCTCCCAGAGCAGCGGGCGGTACCGGGCGCTCAGCGTGGCGGCCACGGGGCCGTGGGTGGCATCCAGCCAGCGCACGGCCTTCCAGAGCTCGGGGCTCTCTGACAGCACTGCTTGCCACAAGCTGTCAGCTGAGGCCACCAGCGCCCCAAAAACACGTCCCATCAGCTCCTCATCCTCCTGGCACAGTGCTTGCAGCTCAGCCGCCAGCGCAGGCGGTTCCTCCGCTGCATCGTGCCCCGCTGGTTGTGGCACCACCACGTCCTCCCAGCGGATCTGTTTGTCCCTGATGGTGCCACTCTGGTGCCACAGGAGAGGCCGGAGCCTCTGTGCCACGGCCCGGCCCCGCTCTGCCGCCAGCAGCCGCAGCACCTCACCCACCGTGAAGGCAGCAGGGGCTGTCACCTCAGGGCTCAGCTCCTCCACCACGCCGTTGTAGATCTCCAACCCCTGGAAGAGGTCATCCAGGCACTCAGAGGTCGGGATGGAGCAGCCAAGCTCCCGCAGCCGTCCCTCGATGCGCTGTCTGGTCAGGCACGCTGCCATCAGCGCCGTCACCAGCAGCGCCCGCCGCATGTGCTGCACGGCCTCGCCTCGCCGCTGCGGCAGCGCCCGCAGCCACGCATCCGTCCGCAGCCGCCGCAGCAGCGCTGCCCAGTGCCCCGCGTGCGCCCGCAGCTCCTGGCACAGCTCCCGCAGCGCCGGATGGGTGTGCCCGGTCTCTCCGGGCCGTGGCAGCGCCAACAGCCGCCGCAGGAATTGCGAGGAGGCCTCGAGGCGTCGAGCGAAGTCGCGGGCCAGGCGGAGCTGGTGGCGGTGCCGCAGCAGCGCGTGCAGGGCGGCTCCGCGCTCCGCCACGCGCCGACGGATGGTGTCCGCAGAAAAGTCACCGGTGCCGCCGGTGTGGGGCCGCATGTAGCCCAGGAAAGTCTCGGTGCGAGGGTCCTCCCAGACGCACAGGCAGCGGCGTAGCCCTGGGAAGCTTTGCTCCAGCGGGACCACGATGGATGCAGCTTCATCCTCGTCCTCATCGTCGTCTTCATCGCCGTCACCGCGCCGGTTTGACCGTGGGGACAGCAGGCGGCGCAGCCCCGGGGTGACGCTGCGCAGCATGGCCTCTGCCCGCTGCAAGGAGCGGGCCAGGGGCCCCCGCGACCCGCCTGGGGGGCACGGGACCCTCAGGGTGATGGGGAAGGGACCGTGGTGGAAGGTGGAGGGTAGGGACCCCCAGTTTGAAGAACCGTGCTATGGGGCAGCACCTGCATTGCCCCATCACTGCCCCATGACCACCCTAACCCTGAGACCCCCAGGACTCTGTTCCATTCCCCACAGGTCCCCCACAGCCCATCAACACCCCCCAAAGACCCTGGACCCCATTAAGATCCTTCACACTCCCCCCAGGACCACTCACCCCATCAGCATCCCCGCAGCCCCCCAGAACACCACCCCCCGTTGTGGTCCCCGCAGCTCCCGGGGGTCTCACCGGGCTCGGGGGGCTCTCCGCGGGCAGCCCCATCGCCCGGTGCCGGGCGGGCCGTCAGCAGCAGCAGGATGAGGCCGCCCAGGCCGCCATCGCCCGCCTGGAGGGGTTCGGGGGGCTCAGGACCCCAAACCGGGGCGGGGGGCGGGGCCAGCGCTGACCACGCCCACTGCCGCGCTGACCACGCCCCAGCTCAGCCCCGCCGTGACCACGCCCCCGTCCGTTTGGCCACGCCCCCGCCGTTTCCATGGCGACCCAGCGCCGCCCGGGCCCGCTGCCCCCCTTGCCTGCCCCGTTACCGGCCCGGCCCCGCCGCTGCCCCGTGAGGAGTGTCCGAGCCCCCCCTGCCCCGAGCGGCCTCACCTGCAGGCACAGCTTTTCGCCGCGCCGCTCAGCGTCTCCCGCGTCCATACCGGGCCATACCGGGGGCGGCGGCGACAGCAAAGAGGCTTAGGCCGCGCCCTCGCTAATCCGCGGGGCCGGGCCAAGCTGGCGGCCAGAACGGGCCCGGCGTGGAGGGGCGGGACGAGAGGCGGGGGTCGGCGGAGCGCAGGGCCTTGCGGCAGGCGGGGACGGCGGGAGCGGATGCGGAGCGCCGGTGCCGCTCCGTGTGGGCCCTGCGGGCCGCCGTCCTGCCCTCACGCAACATGGCGGCCACGGCCTCAAGCGGCGCCGTGACGTTATTCCGGTAGGCCCGTGATGCCGTTCTGAGGCGCGGCGGCGGCGGCGGCGGTGCCGGTGGCGATGCGGGGCTCAGGCGGGACGCGGGAGGAGGACGGGCCCGGAGCGGGCGGCTTCGGGCCTGCTGCTGCCGCCTGCCCCTGGGGCTGCACGCCCGGCCCCGCTGGCTGGAGCGGCGGTACGGGGCACGGGGGGCGGGGGTGGGAGCGCAGAGCCCCGGCTCGGTTTCGGTTCCGCCTCACGGGTGTTTGTGCTTCTCGCAGCGCCTTTCTGCCCCCGGCACCGTATGTCCAGCTTCGCCGACCTGCCGGTACCGGTGCAGGGCCCGGTGGTTAAGTACAAGGGAGAGGAGGTTTGTCTGCTCTGGGAGGACGGTGAGTGCGGCGGGGGCTACCGGGGAATGCCAGCGGTGGGGGCTGCCGGGATCCGGTGCATGAGACCTCACACACTTAAACTGCGCTCGGGCTATGCTTTTCCCTATTTCCAGGCAGCCCTGTGACTGGGATCAGATAAGTGTGGTCCCCTCCCCTCCTGCGGAAAGCCAGAAAACCCTCCCTGTCCTTAGCCTGGATAAGGCCATATCCTGTGCTGTTCGCTCTCTTTTTCCCTTCATTTCATGGAATAAAATAGCTGGACAACCACATCGGAGAATGTATCGCCCGTATATCTGGGCTAGCCTGGTGATTCGGGGGGCTGAGCGGGATGGGAGTGTCAGCACACCCCGTTCTCCTGCCAGGCCCCACGGTGGATTACTACCCGCTGTACTACGACGACGACGACGACGATAATTACCATTACGATGAGGACGAGCTGGACGCGGGTTTGCCGTTCTTGGACGTTCCCGTGGTGGAGGGAGCGGTTCCCTACAGCTACTGCGGCTTCCGCAAGTCCTTCCTGTGCTCGGAACCGCCCCCGCCACTCCCCCGCACCTCTCCCACCGCCCTGGACGCGCGGCTGGACCGGCTGCCCACGCCCCGCTGCCCCCGGCTCACGGCTGAGGTGGGGAGTCCCTCTGCTGTCCCCTCCCCCAGCTCGGGGCCCCGGGGATGTCCTGACTCGGGGTGTCCCTCCTGCAGGAAGCTGAGAAGAACGCACAGGAGCTGGTGGCAGAGGAGGAGCGGGCGAAGAGGAAGGCAGAGAAGAAGAAGCTGAAGAAGAAGGTGGGTGAGGTCACAGCCAGCTCCTGGGGATTGGGGGCACTGCCTCTTCTTGGGGTCCCTGAGCTGGGGGATTGCCTGGCTGGGGGCATTTCTCTGCCTGGCACCCGCTGGTGAGTCTATGTCCTCCCTTCCCAGAAACAAAAAGACCGAAAGAAACGGGAGAAACAGGGTCAAGAGCAGAAAAACAAAGAGAACACTGACCCGGTGAGTGACCAGTCTAGACCCCTTGTGCTGTTCTGGGGGTGTCCAGAGGTGGGGGCCAGCCAGCACCCCCTATCCCTGTCACCTCACCCCCTCTCTCTCCTTGCAGAGCCCCCCAAGTGGCCCTGCAGGCACCTCAAATGCTGCTGAGGATGAGGGATGCTGCCCAGAGCCCTCCCCGTGCCCTGGGGACTCCACAGTCCCCTCAGGGGAGCCTGGGCCAGAGGACACAGCAGTGACAGAGGTGAGGGACACCCTCCCCAGGGGGACCAAGTGGGGGTGGGGGGTCCCAGGACTCTGCCTGCCCATCCCTCCCTGCTTCCCCAGGAGGAGCTGGACCTGAGCTGCACTTTTGTCTGCAAAGCACGGGAGAAGGCGGGGGTCAGGCTGCCTCCCCCGGGCAGTGACCAGTCCCCTGGCACACAGAACATGGAGCCAAGCAGGAAGGTGCCAGAGAAGGCAAGTGGGGAGCCTGTGGGGACACCTGTGTCCCCCCAGCCCCTCCAGGCCAGGCCACCCAGCCCCAGCACGGTGGAGCAGAGCCTGGCACTTGCAGGTCAGTGCAGGGACCCCCAGAGGGGCGAGGGGAGGGCACTGGGGGTTCTCCCTGCTTCTCCCCAGCTCAGAGGGGCTGTGCTAGGGGAGCTGTCCCTCTTGTGTCCTCACTGAGCACCCCATGTCACCTCCCCAGGCCACGGCATCGAGGCAGCACAGATGGGCCAACACACCGAGGCCGTCTGGGCTTTCACCGTCGCCCTGGAGCTGAACCCCCAGGAACACCGGTGAGCAGAGGGGCTTGGGGGGTGCTGGGGTGGGAGAGCCAGGCCTCAGTGACACCCCCATCCCCACAGCTTCCTGGGGAACCGCTCCTACTGCCTGGAGAAGCTGGGCCGGTACGAGGAGGCGCTGGCGGACGCGGAGGCGGCGCTGGCGCTGCGGCCGGGCTGGCCCAAGGGATCCTTCCGCAAGGGAAAGGCCCTGAGGGGGCTTCAGGTACCTGGGGGGGCTCCAGGGACTGTGCAGGGGGGCTGCAGGAGGTGGGTTCTGCCATGGCTGGGTGAAAGGAGTGAGGATGGGGCTCTCAGAGTGGCTGAAGGGTGCTGTTGGAGACAAACTGGGGGTTTTGGAGTGCTGGTGGGCTGAGGGGTGCAAAGGGGGTCTGGGTGGGAGCTGGATGCTGTGGGTAAGGGGTGTGGGGCTGGTTGTGTTATTTGTGAGTAGGGCCTTGGTGGACGGGGCAGGGCAGGGCTGCTGTGCTGGGGGGGTGTCAGCGAGGCTTTGAGGTGCCATTTGGGCTGGGTGGGGGGCGCGGGGTGCCCGTGGGGCCAGGCAGGGGGTCGCAGGTGCCCTCCGGCCCCCAGCTCTACGCCGAGGCTGTGCGCACCTTCGAGGAGCTGCTGCTGCAGGATGGGACCTGTGCTGAGGCAGCTGCACAGCTGGAGGAGTGCCGGGCCCTGCTGCAGGTCAGACCCCCATTCCCAACCCCCCACCCCCTGCCCCGTGTCCTGCTGTGCCCCCCACGCCTCACCCCTGTCCCCTCACAGCAGGGCAGCCGCCCCGGCGGTGTCCCCGTGTCCCCTTTCCTGCTCAAGGCTAAGGAGCCGCTGTCTCTCCCTGGTAAGGGACAGGGGTGGGTGGGCTTGGGGGACCCTGGGGGTATCCCTGTGTCCCCATGGGTGCTGGACCCCTTTGGCCCCCTCGGCAGCAGGATGGACAACCAGGAGCTGCCAGGACACGGGTGACAAAAGTGTGACAGGAGGCAGTGCCAGGACCCCTGCAAAAGACCCAGAACGGGCACCTGCTGTGGCCAGTGGCCACCCAACACTGCCACCAAGCCACCCTGCCAGGTATGGGCTCTGGTGATTTGGGAAGGGGGCCCAGAGTGGGGCAGTGCTGGCTCTGGTGACACCAGGATGGCTCTTGGCAGGGACTGCTTCCCGCTCTGGGTGGGCAATGTCACCTCCCACATCACCGAGAAGGTGCTGCGTCGTGCCTTTGGCCGGTGAGTGACCCCCGGGACCTCCCCTCCTGCAGGACCCCTGGCACAGCCCTGCTGACCCCCAGGCTCCCCAGCTCTGTCCCTGTCCTCCTTCTCTGGTGGCTTTGGGGAGTCATGTCTGACTCACACGCCGCCCCCAGATTTGGGGGTCTCTATCCCACAGCTTGGGGTGTCTTTAACTGTTCCTCCTCAGGTTTGGGAGTCTCTGGAGACTTGGGGGTGCCTCAGTCTCCCATCTTTGGGAGTCTTTCACCCTTCCCCAGCTGCTGGGGGTTGCCAACCCTGCAGGTTTAGGGGTCTCTAACCCTCCACCTTCCCATTTAGGACTCTCTAACTGTTGCCCCCCCCAACATTTGGGGGTTCTGTGCCCCCCAGGTTTGGGGAGATCCGCTCCATGCGGCTGCTGCCGGGGCGTCGCTGTGCCTTCATCAACTTCAGCGGCAAAGCAGAGGCCGAGGAGGCCTTCAGGGCCATGCAGGTGAGCTGGGGGGAACTCGTGGGACCCCCTGTCCCCACAGGGGACCTGTCCAGGTGACAGCTGCCAGCTCCTTGTGTCCCCAGGGTGCCACCTTGGAGGGCAGCAAGCTGTTGCTGCAGCTCAAGCACCCGGCCCACGCCACGCCGGCCCCCGTGCCCCGTGCCAAGGGCAAGGCCACCCCCGGGGGGCTGCTCAGTTGACCCCACTCTGTTGTGGGGGGCTCCTGGCAGCCCCCCCCTCACCTGCCTGTACCTGCCTGTGCCTTGTCACCCACTGCCAGGGGTGGGAATGTGTCCCTCTCGTGCCTTGGGGGTGCTGGGGGTCAGCAGCCCCTTGTCTGAGGGGTTGGCCTTGGGCTGTCCCCCGTGGCCCCTCAGGCATTTGTACCAATTTGGGGTTTTTTAATAAACTGAGGTTTCTTTTTCTGTCTTGGCCTTGTTTTGGGTTGGTGTCCCTCAGCCTCTCTGCCACCCCCCTGTCCCTTGTCCACCCCATGTCCCCCTCTGTCCCTGGGGGACAGCAAACGGGGTCTCTACCCCCCCTTAATGTCACTGCTTGGTGACAGGAGCTTGGGAGAGGGGGGGTGACAGCCGTGAGATCAAATACAATTTGATTAATATGCAAATTGAAGGGGGCAGGGGCTGCTGCAGCCGGTAATTAATCACCGGTTAAAACAAATTAATGCCCGCGGTGGGAGGTGCTCGCCTGGAAAAAAAGTGGGGGGTGGGGGGGTCCATATTAAGGTGTTGCCTTTATTGCAAATATTTACACCGGGGCTGATAGAAAATAAAATAAAATTAAAAAAAACAATGAAAAGATGAACAAAAAAAGCGGCAAAAGGATGTGCTGGGTGGGGGTGGGGGGGGGCGAGTCCCTCCGAATGGAGCCGAACGGGAACCGAATGGAACCGAATGGATCCGAACGGAGCTGAACCGGATCCGAACCGGATCCGAACGGGGCCGAACGGAGCTGAACCGGATCCGAACGGGGCCGAACGGAGCTGAACCAGATCCGAACGGGGCCGAACCGGATCCGAACGGAGCCGATCCCGCCCGAGAGGAGCCGCGTGGATCCGAGCAGAGCCGACCGTGCTCAGCTCAATCCGCCACGTCGATCTCCTCCTCCGAGAGCTCCGCGGGCTCCGCGGTCCCGGTGCCGTTACCGGGAGCCCCCGGTGGCTCGGGCAGCCCCGCCAGCTGCTGCAGGGCGGCGGGGGGCAGCGCTTGCAGCGAGGCCACGTCCGCCCGTAGCTCCTCCAGGTCCCGTTTGAGTTTGGCACGGCGGTTCTGGAACCAGGTGATGACCTGAGCGGCGGAGAGCGCCAACCGCGCCGCCAGCGCGTCCCGGTCCACCGGGGAGAGGTAGCGCTGCCGCCGGAATCGCTGCTCCAGCTCCCGTAGCTGCTGCGCCGTGAACGCGGTCCGGGATTTGCGACGTTTCCTGCACGGAGGGCGCGGGCCCGAAGCGCCCGGTGGGGACGGACCTGCGGAGACAACGGGGTTAGGGCACGGAAACCGGGGAGCAGCACCGGGAACCGCAGCGGGTGCCCGGTTGTGAAGTGCCTGCGGGTGAAGGGCATCGCACCGGGAACGGCACCGGGAACCGCAGCGGGGAGCGGACCCCGGGTGCCCGGTTGTGAAGTGCCTGCGGGTGCAGGGCATCGCACCGGGAACGGCACCGGGAACCGCAGCGGCACCGGGATGCCCGGTGGGGAAGGGTTTGTGGGGCAGGCTACCGGTAAGGGGACCCGGACAGCACCGGCACCGCAGCGACGTCAGGTCAAACACACCGGTACGCGCACCGGGACCCACCCCGAGCGCTGCGGGTCCCGTGCCGTGCCGGGACACCGGTAACTGCAGCCGCACCGGCCCCGCCGACTCCCGGTAGCGAACGGAGACCAACCGGTCCACATCGAACCCAACGCAGACGGTACCAAACCGAGTCTTGCCCAACCAAACCGAGCAAACCGGCACCGGGAAGCCGGGATCACCGTTCTACAGCGGCCCCGGTCGCGTCGGAGTCGCCCCCGTTACGACCCGTGAGACACCCGTGTCCCGCCGGCAGCCAGGAACGGAGCCGGGAGTCCACGTAGAGAACCGGGATCCTCCGTGCTGGTCCCCAGATTCGCTCCGGTCGCCTCTCCCGGTCCCGGTGCTGTCGCTGCTGCCCGTAGCGACCCAGAGAACCCCCGGCGGGATCCCGATCGCCGCCCCGGGCACGGCCACGCCGCCGGCGGGATCCCGATCGCCGCCCCGGGCACGGCCACGCCGCCGGCGGGATCCCGATCGCCGCCCCGGGCACGGCCACGCCGCCGGCGGGATCCCGATCGCCGTCCCGATCTCTTTCCCGTTCCAGCCCCGCCGCTGCCGGTAGCACCGAGCCGCCTCTCGGTAACGCGGCCGTGCGTCCCGTAGTAACGGCGGCGGCTCCCGGGGTCTCCCGGACCCCACTCCTTGCTCGGTAGAAGAGCTCCCGGTGGTCCCGGCCGAGTCCGTGGGTCCGTCCCGGTAGCACGGCTTTACCGAGGTCGCAAAAACCCGATCGGTCCGTCAGTCAGTAACGGGGCTTCCACTCCAGTCCCGGAGCCCCGATTGGCGCCGTTTCTGTCCGTTCTTCCATCCCGGTAACGGGGATTTACCCCCGCTCAGGGAGCCCTGATCTCTCCGTGCTCAGTCCGTCCTTCCGTGGCGGCGTTTTCGTTGATCACGGAAGCCGCGGGCTGTCCCGCTGTGGCGGTGGGTCCGTCCCGGTAACGAGCTTTTACCTGATTTACCGGCACCTCCCGGCTCGTTCCGCCGTTACCCGCGGCCGGTTCGCCACCGGGTTTTGTTAATTCCGAGATCCCCGTTCGGCCGTGTCCATCGGTCCGGCCGGTACCGGTACCGGAGCTTCACTCCCGCTCCGGGAGCCCCGATCGCTCCCGTGTTTGTCCAGCCGGCAGCGGGTTTGGTTTTTTTAATTTGTTCTTTTTTTGTTTGTTTTTTTGGGTTTTTTTCCGTTCATTTTTATTAGTCCCGTGTCTGTCCTTCCGTCTGGCCGGTAACGGGAATTTACCTCCGCCCCGGGAGCCTCGTTCGTTCCCATTTTTGTTTGATAACCCGCGTTATTTCGGTTTTTGGTGGGTTTTTTTTGATCCATTTTCTGTCGATATGTCCGTCCGGTAACGGCCCTTTTTACCTTAATTCCGTGAGCTCCGATCGGCCCCGTTTTTACCCGTCTGTCTGTCCCGGAAAAAGGAATTTTTCGCCCCCGTTCCTGTCCGTCTGTCCACCCGGTAATGGGATATTTTTGCTCACTTATTTCGTTCCTTGCCGTGATAACGGAGGGTTTTTACCTTAAAACCGGGAGGCCGAGACGTCCTCGTTCTGTTCGTCTGTCCGCCCGTTAACGAATTGCTTTATTCGTTAATCACGGGATCGCTGCTCTGTCTGTCCGTCTCTGCCCGCTATGGTTCCTTAATTACCGGAGCACCTCTCCGTAATTAGGAATTTTTTTTTTACCCGTTAATTACCGGAGTGCGGCTCCATTTTCGTTCATCTCTCCGGTCGGTAACGGAGGTTCGGTTACTCACGGGAGGGCTGATCCGTGTCCGTGTCCGTCTGTCCGAAGGGTTTTTCGTTACCGGCGTGAGCCGCGTTGTGCACAATCGTATCCGTTAATTACCGGCACGCTGCTCTGCCGTCACTGTCGTTCTGTCTGTCCCGGTAATATTTGTTTTTTTCCACGTTAATCACGGAGATTCTCTGTCCGTCTCAGTAAGGGACGTTAATTGTTTTTTTGCTTTAATTACCGGAGCCTTTTTCGGTCTGTCCGTCCCGGTAACGGTTTTTTTCATGCTTGTCCGTGTGTCCCTCCGTGTGAGGGATTTTCCGTTAATCCCGGACACTCGATCTGTCCGTCCGTGTCCGTCTCTCCAACCGAGGAACGGATTTTTTCATTCCCGGGGGTGCCGTGCTGGCTGTCGGTTTCCGCCCTTCCTCCCGGTTCGGCCGAGCCCGGGAGATGTGGGGCCGGTTCTTCGGACCCCGCCGGTACAGGCGGTGTTCCCGCAGACCGAGCCCCGGACGGAGCCGCCGTTCCCCTGAGGCTCGGCGCCGGTACCGGGTTTCGTTGCCGGAGGGTCCGATCCGCCACTTGGCCCCTGCGCTCGGTCACGGTCACGGTCACGGCTCGGCCGCCCGGTCCCACGGCTCCCGGTAAAGCTGCCGGCCCCGGGGCGAGCGGTTCTCCCGGTGCTCCGGTGCCTGTGGCGGCTCACCGGGGCTCGCTCCGGTTCCCGGGACTTGTCCCTCCCTTCGGACTGCGGCTGCCGCGTGTCCCCGGTGTCCCGGCGGAGCACCGGCGGCTTCTCGGGCCTCCCATCCCCGTTCACCCCTCCGGGACAAGGAGAAAACTTCCCGGGACGGCGGACGAGGGGCCTCCCCACCGCCCTTCAGCCCCGCCACCTGCCCGGTGCCCGGTTCCCGGTGCCCGGTGCTCCTGCCCCGCCCCGGCAGCCCCCCGGTCCCGGTACCTCCGGTTGCCTGCAGCATTCCCAGCTCCAGCCCCTGGAAGGTTTTACTGGCGAGTTCCTCCAGCGCCCAGAGCGGCGAGGCCGGGCCGCAGCCGCCGCCGCCGCCGCGGGGCCCTGTCGGGGCGGGGGGGGCGGCGGCACCGGTCCCGGTCCCGGGGGGGCTCCCGCCGCGGGGACGTCCGAGGATATCCTCGATGCCGAAGGGGGTCAGCGGTTTTGTGGTGTTGGCGGGGGGCGGGAGCCGGTCCAGGGGGCTCCGCCGGTGGCCGCCGACCGCGGCGGGCAGCGGGGGGGAACCGGCCGCCTCCCCCGCCGAGGTCATGCCGGGACCGGGACCCGCGCCGGGAGCGGGACCCGCCGCCACCGCCCCCCCTCCCCCCCCCAGCCCCGCGATTCCCGTTCCACCGCCTTAAAGCCCCGGGATACCGGGAGGAGGAGGAGGAGGAGCCACCGACGCCCCCCCTGTCGAGGGGGGGGGGACCGACCCCTCTCCGCCACTACCGGGGCGCAGCCCCGCGCCTTCCCCCCGTTGTCTCCCCCATTTTAACCTACCCCGGAGGGTCCCCCCCTCCTCCTCTTCTCCCTCCTCATCCTCACCGCTGCTCTTACCCTCACCCAAAAATTTATTGGCTCTTTTGCTCTAAAATGCCCCATAAAAGCATCGGGGCCGCGGCTGGGAGTGATTAAGCCCTTTTGGGTGGGTTTTGGGTTTCAGAGCCATAAATTCTGCTCCCCCCCCCCCCAAACCTCTCCCCGCCACATTCCCGCTGCCCTTTCCCGGTACAAATAGCTCCGGGATTTCGGCCGCTCGTAAAAATCCCGGGATGCCGCACACGCAGGTGAGGCCCGGCAGGCGACGCCGCCTCCGGATTATCCGGCGGGTTTGGGGTCGGGGGATGCCGAATCGCTTCTCCGGAGAGGCGATTCGGTCCCCCCCGTCCCCAATGCCGTCGGGTGTCCCCATGGATGTGTCGCTGGGATCGGGGACACGGGGGTCACGGCGGTAATGAACCTGCGGCCGGTGGCGGGGGGTGCCCGGTGGGAGCACACGGAGCCGGTTTGGGGGAGCAGGTGCAGGGGGACCCGCCGATGTCGGGATTATGGAAGTGGGGAGGGGGTGAGGGGGATTTTTCCAATCTTGCTGACAAAGGCAGAACGCGATCTCCCGGCTGGAAATCGGAGTTTGACAAATTCAACCTTGAAATTTCCCAGCAGCCGGAGCAATTAAAGGCTTGGGGATGGGGGGGGAGGGTGGGGAGGGGGCTCGGTTTGGGAGAGGGACACGGGGCCCCTCGCACGGCGGCGTGCCGGGCACGGCGGCGTTTGCACGGATTCCTCGCACGCGGCTTTTGTCCTCTCCGCAGGGCACGGGGAGATGGCGGAGCCGCCGCTGCCGCACGTGCCGCCGGTTCTCACCGGGGAACGGAGCCCGTCCCGAGCTGGGACCCCCCATTCCCACTCGGTTGGACCGCTGTGAGCCCGGTGCCTTCCAGCAGCACCGCTGGAACGAGTTCACCGTGCCGGCCGCAAGGCCCTGGCTGCCCGGTGAACCGGGAACGGGGGTCGCAGCCCTCACCAGGAGTCCCAACCCTTCCCGGGGATCCAGCCCCATGGGGGGGTTTCAGTCCTGGTTTAACGCTCTGGGACACGCAGGATTGGAAATCGCTTCTCGGGGTGATTCCGTGTTCGTGTGTCGATGGGGAATTGCGGCCGCTCACCCACCGGGAACGCTCCGGTTCCACCGGGACCAGCGGGATCCCGGCAGCCGAGCCCCGGGCTGGGGGTGTGGGAACCCTCCGGATCTGCAGCGGTGCTGCTCACCCTGATGGGATTGGGATGTCACCCTCACCCCATTGCCCCCCGTTATCACCGCGTTGCTCCTGCGGTGAATCCCTGCGCACCCAAGGGTGCTCCCAGATCATGGTGCTGTCACCTCTTTCCCTCCCCGAGCCCCCCACTCGTGCCCCGAGTGAGGCATTTCTGGGGTGGGCTGAGCCCCCCCACCCTGCCCGACCCCTCCGGCTTCCCCTGGGGGTGGGAAGCGCCGGCTCCGGCTGCCGGGAACACAGGATGGGAAACGCTTTTCACCCCAAACCACAGGGTGGGAACAAAACGAGCCCCCGGGGCTTTTACAGGAACACGGGAGTTTCCTGCGGAGCCGGGAGAGCGCCCGGAGCTGGCCCGTAGCCCGAGGGGACGGTAACGGAGGTACCGGGCACGCCCGCGGCGTAGGGCTGAGGGCACCCCAGGGCATCCTGGGGGTGCTGCCGTGTCCCCCCCACCCAACATCCCCATCCTGGGGGTGCTGCCGTGTCCCCCCCCCACCCAACATCTCCATCCTGGGGGTGCTGCCGTGTCCCCCCCACCCAATATCCCCATCCTGGGGGTGCTGCCGTGTCCCCCCCACCCAACATCCCCATCCTGGGGGTGCTGCCGTGTCCCCCCCACCCAATATCCCCATCCTGGGGGTGCTGCCGTGTCCCCCCCACCCAACATCCCCATCCTGGGGGTGCTGCCGTGTCCCCCCCCAACCCAACATCCCCATCCTGGGGGTGCTGCCGTGTCCCCCCCACCCAACATCCCCATCCTGGGGGGTGCCGTGGCTCCGAGCACCGGCAGCTCCCGGTATTCCCCCACCCGGAAAGCCGCCGGGAACGGGGTGTTGGGGTGCCGGTGCTCCAGGAGAGGGGGGTGGCAGCACAATTCGGGGTGCGGCACCCCCGTAACGCGTTTCCCCCGCCCCGCGCCGCCCTGATCCATTATTTATCGGCTCCATCCCAATATTGCGCTCGGTAACGCGATTAGGGCCTCGGCCCCGCGCGGCCCCGGCACATGGAAATCGCTGGCAAATGAATTTTCCTTTAATAAGGGAACAGCTCGGTGCGGAATTAAAGTGTAAGGAGCGGCGGCAGCGGCGGGGGGGTACCGGGAGCCCCCCCGAGCCGGGGGACGGGACCCCAGCAATTAGTGGCAATAAATCCTGACCCCGCGGTGGGCTGGGAGCTCAGCGGGGCCGGGAATAATGGGATTACACCTGGCTCCGGTGGATGGGATGGATGTGTCGGGAGTCGGGGGAGACGGGGATCCCTCCCTGGGGCTGTTGGCAAATCATCGATTCATTAACGGCAGCGGCATCGCCCCCCCCGCGCTCCGGTACGGGGGGAGCGGGGGGATGGGGATGGGGATACGGATATGGGGATGGGGATGGGGATGTGGACATGGGGATATGGACATGAGGACGGGGATACGGACATGGGGACGGGGATACGGACATGGGGATGGGGATATGGACATGGGGATGGGGACGGGGATACGGACATGGGGATGGGGATATGGACATGGGGATGGGGATGTGGACATGGGGATGGGGATACGGACATGGGGACGGGGATACGGACATGGGGATGGGGATATGGACATGGGGATGGGGACGGGGATACGGACATGGGGACGGGGATGTGGACATGGGGACGGGGATGTGGACATGGGGACGGGGATGTGGACATGGGGACGGGGATGTGGGGATGGGGATGGGGATACAGACATGGGGATACGGACATGGGGACGGGGATGTGGACATGGGGACGGGGATACGGACATGGGGATGGGGATGTGGATATGGGGACGGGGACACGGACATGGGGATACGGACATGGGGACGGGGATACGGACATGGGGATATGGACATGGGGACGGGGATACGGACATGGGGATGGGGATGTGGACATGGGGATGGGGATATGGACATGGGGACGGGGATACGGACATGGGGACGGGGATACGGACATGGGGATGGGGATGTGGACATGGGGACGGGGATATGGACATGGGGACGGGGATACGGACATGGGGACGGGGATGTGGACATGGGGACGGGGATGTGGACATGGGGACGGGGATGTGGACATGGGGACGGGGATATGGACATGGGGATGGGGATGTGGATATGGGGACAGCGCAGGACTAGGGACACGCGGGGTCTTGCACATGCCACCCACAGCTCCCACACCCGCGTGTCTGCGTGGCCACAAGCACCCCAGCAGGCACAGCTGGCTGCAGATGTGTGCAGGTGTGCACAGAGCGCTCAGGGACACAGCAGCTCACATCCACAGCCGCCACACGCGTGGAGCCATGAGTCCCGGAGTGCCAGGGACCGGCCGGGGACAGCGGGTCCCAGCTGCCGCACCCCCCCGGGATCCCCCGCTCGCTCCGGGGCCTCCATTTGTGCCTGGGCCAAACTCTCAGCCAAATGGGCCGTGGGCGGAGTGGGGGGGTTGCATTTCAAAGGCTCCGGTTGCGGCAAACGCCGCTGCCCCCCCGCCGGGCCCTCGGCCGCCCACGCCCCCTGACCCCCGCACGGCACTGCCGCGGTGGGGAGGGGGTCCCCCCCGTGCCCTGCCCCGGCATTGGGACCCCCGTGGGGTCGGGGTCCATCCAGAGTGGACCTGCGGCTTTGGGGCGTGGGGTCCCCATCGCGCCGTGGCGTGGGGACACCGAGTGGGGGTCTCTGTACCGGGGAAGGGGGGGCAGCAACCGGGATGGAGAGGGTGGGGTGGGGTGGGGGGTTCCGAGTGGCTCCCGCTGGTGCCTTACGTGGGGTACCCACAGCGCGCCCGTGGCACCGGGAGCCGTGGGAGAGCGGCCGCGGGCAGCGGGACGGTGGCGGGGCCGAGGAGGCGGCGACGGGGCCATGAGGATTTA